TTTTAACAATACCTTCGATTATATTAATAATAATTTGAAAATTTCTAATAATATTCAAAGTAATATTTTAAAGAATCTTGAACCTATTAATGCAAAATTGAGACAGACCTTGTTTGAATTTATTTATGCCACCAATATATCCAATGATTGTTTGCAAGCATTATATAAATGGACGGAAGGGCTTAAAAGCCGGGAATTGTGGGCTTATCAATGTAAATAAATTATTTTATTTTACTGGTTATTCTATAAATTATGTAATATTATACAATCTTAATTATACAAAATATTACTATTAATTGCGTCTATTTTAATCTAATAAGAGTATACAGTCTATTTATTTGTGAAGGCACTCATTTGTGATCCATTTAATTTTAGGCAATATTAATATTAAAATACTTTTTTAATTTATTTAAAAACAGTCATTGACTCAATGGGTAAAATACCCGCTGGACTATTAACTGGGGTTTTGACAAGTTTTGGTGATTACGACCAGTGCTTAAGCATACGTAACGAACATAGTATCACAAGTGACACCATTTATGGCAAATACTGTCTCATAAGACCTGTCATACCATTGAATAATACCGACATTTTGACAAATTTCAAGGGTTTGGATATTTTAAACAACGCAACAAATGAGTTTATTATTAACACGATTAACCGGGACATAAATAAGCTAAAATTGGTGGTAGCTCTTAATCTAGTGACCGATAAAATATATGCTTTTCATTACGGCATTTGCATACCATCTCAATGTCAGGCACTGGACATCGAAAAGATTTTACAAACAGGTATTTAATTAGCATATATAATATTACTACTTTATAAAAATTATGACTAACTTATTATGCGAAATAGTAATATTTTGCAAATACAGTAGTTATGCGAAATAATTTTTGTAGTAATAATTTTTAACCTATGTTAAATTATAAAATAAACATTTAATCAAAAAAAATCATATATTTTAATCCAGTATTCAATCCGATAATACCGATACCCATTGAAGTGGGCCCTAAATGTGATGTCATTACGGATACCATTGAGTGGAATGCCTTTTATATCATAGTATTGTAAATAGTCTTAATTTTTATTTATAAACATATTAAATTAATTTATTATTTATTATATTTCTAAATTTATTTAACAATTTTCAGAAGTATTCCCACAATAAGTTGCATTTTAATAATTTTAACAACTTATGCTATTATAAAATCTAAATGGACAACTTCAAAACATAATGAAATTAAAATATCCAAGTACAATCATATTATGGAGATATTAACCAGCTCATTTTCTATTCGAAATGCAAACAATAAACTATTCAGCCCCTTGAATGATAGATTATTAATTGCCGAGGGTCTTATGTTATTTTATACATTGTGGGTGTCATTTGGGCTTAGTTACGCTGCCATGTTTAGCACCGGTATGGTCGGGTATAAAAACATTTTAAATAGTTTTATGATCAAGGTGATTATGGATATTGAATATTTCTGGCTGAGAACCACATTCCCGCAAGATATGATTGGCTTATTATGGTAACTAATATTATACAATGTTTTCCAGTTGTTACCAAGGTTATATATAATAATGTTTATTATACTTATAGTGGAATTATTATATCGTACGACTATTTTGGTCCAAAAGCTCGGAATCAAACATTTTTCTCGTATATTAAGTTTGTTTTGGAAAAGTATATAAGATTTTTGCCAAAAATGTTGGGCCCCGTTTTTCTTAGCGTAATATTTCAAGTAATAGGAACTGGGCCAAATTTTTATGCTTACTCAATTAAAAATGTGTGCCGAGGTAATTACTGGCAAAATATATTGTTTATCAACAACTTTGGACCCGAATCAAGGAATAATGTGAGTTATTGAATATACCTAGCATAATCAACCTAAACGAATAATATACTTTATAGTCACTGTGTATCTTGAAGTGTATGAACATATTATAACATTATTATGTGCTATATTTATATTTAATTTTCAATAGAAACTTAAATTATAATAATTTAATATTAAATAAAATATATATATCGTTTTTGCATTATTTGATTATACTAGCTAATGTACAGTATTATGTAAATAACTATGAACTTAACCATTAATATATTTAAATTATTTCTAGTGTGTAGCTGCCACCTTTATATTAAGCGTTATATTTCAACTACAAATCATTTGCCCACTATTTATGATACTAATGAGACGTTGGAGTATTTATGGATTAATAATGAACGGGATAATCTTTATAGTTTCACTATTCGTGGTCATTGCTCCCAATTTATACACAAACTACAAAATTATACCATATGAAGTGTCCAACCTAAATGATTTCACCCAGATAAATCGTTCATTTGTTAGATATATGAGCTTCACCGATCAATATTTATCTGTATTTATATTGGGCTTAATCGTTGGCTATGTATTGCGACAAAAAATGACCTTTATTAAATGTTTGGTGTCTAACAAATTGCGACTAATTACTTTGACAATTATATGCTCAGCGATAACCCTGTTAAGTGTTATATGGAGTGAAAACTTCAAGGATCTTACTATAAAACCAAATCAATTGAATCTTATGCTATGGTTTAGTTGCGGGAAGATTTTGTGGTGTGTCGGCAATATATGGCTTATTATTGTGGTTTACCTCAACCCTAATGGTTAGCATTCATTATGATTTATAATACAGTATTTATATTAATGTTAATTTTTCAAAAAAAAATATATTTAGGATATATCAATAAACTCTTGTCATCGAAATTACTCGCACCAATTAGCCGGTTACTATTTAGCATATTTTTAAATGGTACGCTTGTCTGTGAGTTTCGTATATTTAGTCGCAGATCTAATATTGCTGTCAGTCATGCTAATCAGGTTAGTATACACTTTCAAAATTCTACCTGTATAATTATAATTATAACTAAATCGGAATGTCCCTTTTTAAAAGTTAGTAAATATGTTATAATTAGTATGGATGTATTCTATAATTATAGCTTAAAAAGAATATCGTAAAATAAAATTCCACTAGAATCAGAATATTCTGTTAAATCCAATTATATCATTTACAAAACAGATATTCTAGTATATTTTTGATAATAAATACAATCAATTTATTAGTAATATTTAAATTGAATCTATTGATGTTCACTGATTCATGTTTGTATGCGAATAATTTGAAATAAGTTTAAACTTTGTTAGTAATATTAACATCTACTGTATTTAATACTATAAGAATTTTTGTTTTTATACAATATATGCCATTTACAATATAAGTTATATGATGGATATAATTGGATTTAACAGAATATTCTGTTTCTAGTGGAATTTTATTTTGCGATATTCTTTTTAAGCTATAATTATAGAATACATTGATACTAATTATAACATATTTACTAACTTTTAAAAAGGGACATTCCGATTAAGTAAATTATTTTACATTTTTAATTTTAGATACAAATATATTTTCTGGATACGACGGCCACTATAATCATATCATATGTGTTGTACATAATCATCGACTTTCCGGTTATTAATCTTTTGGAGACTTATCGGAAACAACAAAATCCTATCAAAAGGTCAAATCCTTATGAAAGCCACGCTATGATTACAAGCGATATGAATGAAAATGAATTAAATGTTTACAACAAAAGGCACCACAAAAATGTTTATAACTTATAAACTAATATTATTTATAATTTATAAGTAATTTTATAATAAAGTATCGGCATTGAAATTATTTGCAGCAATTAGTCGACTATTTGTCAGCATATTTATAAATGCTACATTAGTGAATGACTCGTATATTTAATCGCAAAATAAATAAAACCGTTAGTCATGGTAACCAGGTTGGCAAACTAATTTATTGTTTAATAAATAATAACTATATTATATATTATAATTTTCTTAATTTAAATAAAATACTATTACCTGGATGTGACTGCGGCTATAATCATGTCTTATGTGTTGATCAGTGCTTATACAGTAGTATAGTACCGTATACTACTGTATAGAAATCTTAAATTAAAAATTAATGTATAAATAATTATATTATATTATACTCAATTATATAATGTAGATTAAAAGGGAATACCGGTAATAATAATAAAAACAATTTATTATTAATACATTAGTGCAATAATATTTTTCCTGAATAATATTTAGTAATAACATGTTTTTTTATTGCAACTACTAATTGTAATTAAATGTCCTTGACAAATAAATGCGTAAATGTCGACTAGCTTAAGGCTAATATTTTTGATTTACATTGTAAATTGTATAACTTTTACAATTACTGACACCTTTGCAATTAGATTTGCCCGAACTTTACCAGTGTACATGTACTCAACCTATTATAATACTTGGGTTTCATGTGTGCGAGCAAAACTAACAACATTTATTAAGTATGTACTCAAATAGACCGTTATTTTGTATTATATATCATTTTACATTATATAATATACCTATTCAATTCTCAACAATTCAAAATTTTCTGAGTAAACATGTTTTCACAATAGTTTTATATGTATGTAAAATTAGTTTTATTTAAACATTTATTCTATTGTAATAGGTAAAAATATTTCATTTGAAACGTTGCTTAGAAAGTGTACTAATATAGTAATATGTTCAAACAATATATGTTTTTAGTTTGTATATTGTATGTGTCTTTTACTTTAAATAGTAAATATGTGCTTGCAAATAACACCGGTGATACAAAGGATAACCATGTTTGTGATGACTGCACTAATAATTGGTTTCATAAATATCGTGGCGATTTCCTCAAATCAAAACTTTCATCAAATGTCTCATTACACACGAGTCGAGTGAATAGTTTTGTTAAAAAGCGTTTTAATTTTAGTCAAACCTTTGATTATATAAATAATAATCTGAAAAACTCTAACAAAATATTCGGCAATATTGTAACAAACCTTGAACCTATCAAATCAAAATTAAGGCAAACTTTATTTGAATTCATATACTCAACCGATATATCCAATGAATGTTTGCGAGCTTTATATAAATGGACGGAAGGACTCAAAAGTGGGAAATTATGGGCCCATAAATGTAAGCATGTTTTATATGAGTAGTTTGATAAATAGTAGATTTAACATGCACGTGTTTATTGAATTATTATTTATGCATATTATTAAATTAGTATTATAAAAATTATTTTTATAGTTATTGATTCAATGGGTAAAATACCACCTGGATTATTTGACGGAGTGATAACAAGTTTTGGTGATTATGACGAGTGCTTAAGTATTCGTAGCGAACATAGTATTACAAGTGATACCATTTATGGAAAATATTGTCTCATAAGGCCTGTCATACCATTAAATAATACAAACGTTTTGCTGAATTTCAAGGGTTTGGATATATTAAATAATGAGACAAATGCCCTGGTTAAAAACAAAATTAAGCAGGATATTAACAAAATAAAAATGGTCGTGGGCACCAATTTAGTGACCGATAAGGTATACGGCTTTCATTACGGCGTTTGCATACCATCTCAATGTCAGGCACGGGATGTGGAAAAAGTATTAAACACAGGTTTGAGTTTCACTACTAATGTGTTTGTAATGATTATATTAATACAGTATAACAATAGCTAATATTTTATTTAAAATTATTGAAATATGTGTTAAATATAATTTAAGGTTATATTATATAATATTTCATTAACTAGTTTGTTAAAATATAACAATATGCCCTTGTTTGTAGTATTCAATCCGATAATACCGATACACATAGAAGTGGGCCCTAAATGTGATGTCATTACGGATACCATTGAGTGGAATGCCTTTTATATCACTATATTGTAAATAATTACTGCAAAATAATATTAATTTAAAATATAATACTAGTAAATATAACTGTTAATATTTATTTACTATTATTTAGGTGCATACCCGCAATATCATGTGTTTCAATAATAATCTCGACTATTTATTTATGCATGAAAATTAATCAAACAAATGTTATGCGTAACGGGATACAATTTACTAAATATACAAGCAACCACGTTGTCAAGATATTGACTAGATCATTTTCGCTACAAAAAGCTAACAAAAAATTATTCAGCCCGCTTAATGATCGAGTATTAATTGTCGAGGCACTTTTTGTATTTTATTTGTTATGGGTGGCCATTGGACTTAATTACGCGTCAATGCTGGGTAACGGTATGGTAGGTTACAAAAACATTTTCAACAGTTTTGTGATCAGGGTCTTAACTGATGTGCAATATTTTTGGCTCAGGACTACTTACCCACGCGATTCAATTGGCCTATTATGGTATGTATAAAACATTTTTACCTACTAATTAAATACCCCTGTGTATATTTATTAATTTAATTTAATTTAACTATCTATATTTAGCGGGATTATTATATCCTATGACTATTTTGGTCCAAAAGTGCGCAAGCAAACATTTCAATCGTATATTAAATTTGTTGTGGAAAAGTATTTTAGATTTTT